TAGTAGTAGTAGTAGTCGTAGTAGTAGTCGCTAGTATAAGTAGTAGTAGTAGTAGTAGTAGTAGTAGTGGTAGTAGTGGTAGTAGTGGTAGTAGTAGTAGTAGTAGTAGTAGTCGTCGTCGTCGTCGTCGTCGTCGTCGTAGTAGTAGTAGTAGTAGTAGTAGTAGTAGTAGTCGTAGTTGAATGCGTCGTCATCGTCGTCGTCGTCGTAGTAGCAGTAGCAGCACCAGTCGCAGTAGCAGTAGCTGTAGCTGTAGCAGTAGGAGTAGCTGTAGCAGGAGCATTAGCAGACGCAGTCGCAATAGAAGAAGTGACCGTAGCAGGTTAATCGTCGGATGAGGATGGGGAAGAGTGGGAGCAACTGCAGCAACATTATTATCATGAGCGGCAGCATGATGATTGGGAGGACGTGCAGAAACATGAAGAGGAGGAAGCAAAGGAGTTCTGAGTGGGGCCTCGTGGCCCCTTTTTCTCGGCGCTCCCTGTCTTGCTCTTCGCGCCCATTCAAGTCGCGCGGTGTCTGGAGAACCAGGGTCGCACGGCGGACGGACTCCGTCCCCAGACGTCCGGCGGATTGCTTTCTCCGAGTCCCTTTGTTTTTCTTGTGCTTCGGGCTCTGGGGGCCGTGTTCGGGCTGCAGGTCTGGGCCCAGGATGAGCAGCCCTGTCCGCGGAATGGGTCGAACGCCTTGAGGCCCACGGGCTCAAAAAGTCAGTCCGCTGGACGTCTGGGTCCCTGCGACTGCACCCCTCTCGGTGCCGCGCGCGGGCTGAAACAGAAGCGGCCTCGAGTTTCGGCACCCGAACTTGGTCACGCTCCTCGGCTGGGGGAGCCACCAGGCGCAGCGATACCTCGTCTACGAGCTGCTGTCAGGGGGCGACGCCTTCCAGAGGCTGCAGAAGAGCATAGGCCGGATTCACTTTTTTGCGTCTGCGCTGGCAGAGTTTGGCCCGTAGTTTGACCCTTTGAGGGGCAGGGGCCGAACAAACAATCAAACATACCCTCCAGAGGTCCCACAGCGAGCCAAATGGCATCAGAACAGCCGATTTTGATGGTGTTTGTGCCCCCAGAGTGTGGGTCTGTTTGGTCGTTTGCTTGGCCCCTGGCCCCTAACGGGCTGAGTCAGCCCCTACAGTCAACCCGCACAGCTAGTATGAGCAATTTTCCAAGGCCGCCCTTGCGTTCTTGTCTCCTCGGTCCGCTCGAAGAGCCTCGACATGGGCGTCCACGGCCCTTGCATCCTCACCGCGCATCCTTACTATACGGGTCGCCCGAATTGCCTCTTGAGTGATCTCAGAGCGTCTGGAGCGTGGCGCCACCCGCCTTTGCCCGAGCCACGCCCAACTGGCCAGCCGGCTGGCCCAGAGCTGCCGAGAGGGACGGCCTGGCTGCGGTGGGCTCCCGCAGAGCCGCTGGGCCCGCCATTGCCGCGGGCGGCGAGGTGAGGAGGAGGAGGACGGGGGTGAGGAGGAGGTGGAGGAGGAGGAGGAGAAGTAGTCAAAGGAGGAGGAGGAGGAGGAGGAGGAGGAGGAGGAGGAGGAGGCTTGAGGACGGGGAGGAGAGGAGGAGAAGGGAGGAGGAGGAGGAGGAGGAGGAGGAGGAGTCAAAGGAGGAGGAGGAGGAGGAGGAGGAGGAAGGAGGAGGAGGAGGAGGGAGGAGAGGAGTCAAAGGAGGAGGAGGGAGGAGGAGGAGGAGGAGGAGGAGGGAGGAGGAGGAGGAGAAGTAGTCAAAGGAGGAGGAGGAGGGAGGAGGCTTGAGGACGGGGAGGAGAAGGAGAAGGAGGAGGAGAGGAGTCAAAGGAGTCAAAGGAGGAGGAGGAGGAGGAGGAGGAGGAGGAGGAGGAGTCAAAGGAGGAGGAGGAAGAGGAGTCAAAGGAGGAGGAGGAGGAGGAGGAGGAGGAGGAGGAGGAGGAGCAGGGGCAGGAGCAGGAGTAGGAGGAGGGTGTCAAGTTAGCGAAGTCGAGCGAGCCAGTAGGCCCATCCCATTCTCACCCTTTCTCCTGCTACACATGACATAAGAGCCAGAGGTGGCACACTGTAAACCCAGGTCGCGCCAACGGTGTCGCAATGAACCCTCCTTGCAGGTTCCCTTTTCAAAGATCAGTTCCAGTCTATTTTCATTGCGGCAACTGCCCAGTGAAAGACAAACGTTGGAGAACCCTCAATAGTGCCAAAACGCCATGCGTGGGAGTTCAGCTCCGCGAAGTCACGTGTCTGTTGCTAGCGCCGGGACACCCCCAAGTCATGCCAGAACACCGTTCCTGGGACGCAGTCCTACGAACCTTTGCGGCTGCTGCGAAGTTTTAAGACGAATGAATTCGGTGTCAATGCGACATCCACTTTTTGAAAAGGAGCCGCCGCCCTTCATCCGTGAAACAATTGCGACGTTTAAAACGAATGCGTGCGGGTCTATGGCGAAAACCACATTTTAGAGCGGCCACCCTTTATTTCAAAGCTGTTGCAAACTTTGAAGACGAATGTGCGCGATGATTATGCGATAGCCGCATGTTTAAAACAGCCTGCCCTCTGTCCGTGAAGCAATGGTAAATGAAAGGGCTGGAGGAGGAGAAACATGAGGAGCAGGAGAAGGCTGAGGAGGAGGTGGAGGAGCAGGTGCCGGAGGGGCGGCGGGTAGTAAGAGGATGGGAAGGAGAAGGGGCAGGAGCAGGAGCAGGCAGAAGCAGGAGGAGAGTGCCAAATCGGCCCGGTCGAACGAGTCTTTTGGGAATTCTGGCTTCCAGTCGCTATCACGAAGGCCAGTGTGAGCAAACCTTGGGGCCAGGACCTCTGTAGGGTTGAGCATCACCAGACGTGGACGACGCGCATGCGTGGCCTGCAGGCGGCCACTGCGCTGGTTGGGTACTGAGGCCGTTGGTCTTGGCGCTGCCGCCTAAGGTGCAGTCCCCTCTCTTCCCCTCCCTCTTGCGGCTGCCTGCCCTCCTTCTGCTTTTGTGTATCTTGCGCGGGGCTTGCTTTGCACCTCTCCGCGCAGCGCGGCCTCTCAGCCCTGCGATGCCCCTCCGCCCAGAAGCCAGAAGCGTCTCAGGCCCACGCTCGTGTTCCCGGTGGTGGGCGGCATTCGGAAGGCCCAACTTCACCGAGCGCGTTCCACGACTCGCCAAGTGCCTACTCGCAAGCGTCCGAGTACAAACACATGTTTGCCTTGATATGATGCATCGCAAATGCCCCACGGCGGATCCAGGCCATTTGCGAGTAGTTACCTTGTCGAGTAGCGGAGCGCGCTTGTCTACAACTACTTTTGCCTCGAGCTCCTCCGAGTGGGGCCTGTGGCTTCAAGGGCTGAGCTTTCGCCCGGCCTCTGGCCGTTCTGCTCCTGGCACTTATTCCCACGGCCTCGTCAGGGTTGGCTCGGGATCGAAGTCTCGGCCTCTTCCGAGCATTGCTACGACACGAGCACTCACTTGCGGCAATGGTCGTCTACTGGGTTTCGTCATGTTGGTGTCGGCAGCGCGCTTCCAGGCCTCTATTGGCCTGGCCGCGGCCGTCGCCACGAACAAGGACGATGGCGATAAGGGTGCCAGGTCTGTTGTCTGGCGCCGCCGGGGCTCGGGGCAATGGTGGATACTCACGACGAGCGTCGACAAACCGCCAGACGGACAGGGCGCGATGCCGTACTCCATAGTGGAGTGCAGCTCCCCACCAGAACGGGTGGGCGCCGAGTTCCCCCACAACAGCGAAAACGGATCGGCCCAATCGTTTACTGGGGGCGTTGGTTCATGAACGTGCACTGGGGGGTCTTTGGGCTCTCGCGAAAATGGCTGCGTCCAACGCAGATGCCAGACCCAACACTGGCTGCGTCCGACGCAGGCTCCCACGCCACTCACGCCGCTGGTCCCGACGCCAGCCCCCACGCGGGCCCCGATCCTGGTTCCGACATCGGAGGCGCCGGCTCCCCGTTGCGGAAGAGACCTGGACTTCACCTGTGGGCCCCAGGAGCCGCGGATTGACCGTGCCTCGTCAGCAGTGGCACGAGCTGCAGCGCGGACAATGGCCAGGTGCGCCGCTGGTGCGGCATAGGCGGGTCGGGGGTTTCACGCTGCCGTGCGGGCGGTCGCGGGGGTCACGAGATCCTGTCCTGGAAGCCACAGGGTTTCAGGAGGGGTAAGACACACCGACAAGAATAATAGTGGATCCCCCTGACACTTTGGGAAGATATGGGATTTGTGTGCCGTGCTTAGTGAATCTTCAGTGAACCCTCGTCCTTAGTGAATCTGCAGTGGTCCCCCCTTATTGAATCTTCCTCTTCCTTCGTGAATCTTCAAGCTTTGAACGCACATCCTGTGCTCGCGCGCGGCTAGAACCTCAGCGCGCGCGAAGCGCGCGTGGTTATAGGGAAAGTATAGGAACATATGTGGTCAGTGTGTTTTTTTATTTGTATGTGTGTGTGTCCTCGGTGTGTATTTTGTGTATATCTATTTGTGTGTAGTCATGCATATATATGGTTATGTTTGGTTGGTGTCCATTGATTTTTGTTTAAGTGTTATGTGTGGTCTGTGTGTATTTTTATTTCTTTGTATGTGCGTCCTCGGTTGGGCCCCTCGAAGGGTTCGTGCCGGTCCTGGCGGTCGCTGCTGCTACCTGCGGCGGCCCCCGAGGATACCAAGGAGCTCTCAAGCTGTGCTTCACGCGGGGCCGAAAGGCTTTGCGATTCGCCGCCGGGGCCGAAAGGCTCTAGTTGCGAGCGGACCGCAAGGTTCACGCGGGGCCGAAAGGCTCTGCGATTCGCCGCCGGGGCCGAAAGGCTCTGGCGGCGAGCGGACCAAGGCCTGGCCCGCCTGGCTCTAGGACGTGACTGGAGACTTCTAGGTTCGAGCCTCGATGGTTACGGTTCGCAGCGCGCTCGTGCCATGGTGCTCTCATCCGTACTTGCACGCCTGCAGCGAATCAGCAAATCGTGTGCAATCACGAGCTGCAGTGGCAACGATGCTCGGCTATTTTTTACCACAGTTTGTTTATCACATTTTTTTCGAAGTAAAACACA